ATAAAAATGAGATAATAGTTGTTCCTACCCAATGATGAGGTCTTCATTGGTACTTCCAAAGTCAGTATGTACCAATTGTAGTTTCTCTGTAGCTTTTCACCTCCTTTTCTTCAGAAATGGAAGTTTACTTTGTTTGCCTAGTTGACATATCCCACATGCAACATCAGGTTTAGTAATTTTAGGCAACCTTTCAACAATTTCTTCTGAGTTCATCCTTCAGAGCAGCTTTTCTAGAGAAAGAGAAGTCATCAACAAAAGAAAAAAGTAAGGGAACTCGAAGAAGATTGAAAATTCGAAAGCTTCAAATCTTAATTTTTCTCTCTACTTTGGTTCTTCTCTCACTTTCTTTGATTTGTATTGATAGTTGATTTTCTTTGGATGATATTTTATAATTTTATTTTATAGAATTATTTAATCTCATTTTGTTCTTAAATGTTAACTAAGTCCAGTCCTTAAATTTTAACTAAAATTTAATTATTTTTTGTTATTTTTTTAATTAATTTATTTTTATTGAGTTATTTAATTTTATATTTATTTATTTTAATTTGACTATTATTTATTAGCTTTTATACTTTTATAGAATTTTAAAAAATAAAGCTTAATTTTGAAAAAAAAAAGTGTTTGAAGGACTTAGAATCCTGCTTGTACATGTTTCAGTATTTTGACCATAACTCTCAGTTCAGATGGCCAAATGATGCAATTCTTGAGCTACTGAAAATCTAAGAGATAGAGACACAATTTTAATACAGACTTCGTTTCCCAGTTCTGCATTGAAGACAGAGAAAATCGTGTGGGAAGATGATGAGGCGTACTATTACGAGAATGAAAATTTTGAAGATGATATTTAAAGAGTCGCTATGCTTTGATGTGGAGACTGAATGCTTGATGCCAATGCCGATGCGAAAGCCAATAAGGTGGTATAATGGGAAGTCCGAAGGCTATTTGCATCTTCTGATTGGACGAAAGCCTGCTTGGCATTTAATGTTTCGGATTTACGAAATGCTAGTGGATTACCCGGATTGGTTCATCAAGGATCGTATTGATCTTGAAGCCGAAATGCAAAGCTTCAACCTTATACCTTCTTACAGAAATTATAATCTTTTCTGTCTGGTTGTGCGCTATGATGAGGACAAAGGAGATTCAGTGGTTGCTGTACTTGAAAGTGGTATGACACTATATTACAATTTCAAGGATGAGGAAATGGAGGTGATGGAAGTACGGATAGATCGTCCTAAGGCATACTTTGCGACCCTCTCTTGTGTTTGAGAGTGCAACTGCTTCAACCTTGTTGAATAATTCTACTGGTTTATAAGCTTTGATGTTATATTATTACAATGTTTTGGTATTGTTTTTTACAGTTCTGCTATTTTGTTCATCTGCTTTTGTTAACTGTTCTCATTGCAAACTTGTAACGAAAATAATGTTTATCAGTTTGCAAAGTTAAAAGGAATCTGGTTGCCTATTCCTTGTACATAGATAATTATTCAGTTCTATACATAGCTTTTTAGTAGTATTTTTTATCTCAATGTTTTACAGCAGCTTAAATGGTCTCCAATTCAATCTAGAGGTCGTAAGTTACACCATTTTGTCTTGGCAGGACTATCAAGTAGTAAGAGGAAGTTCTCTAGTAAATTATGTCCTTTCACCTGCAATCATTGACCTCTGCTTTCTAGCTGTTGCTCTTGCTGCTTTAAGCAGCCAGAATCCTGGTGTCATTACAATAGCAATTAATGCAGTGTTTGGATCAGACCCATCCATTAATCTGATCTAGCCGAGGCCTTCAACTGGACAGAAAAATGGTGAAAAATCTTCAGTCAAAATTCTGAGGATAGCAACTGGGAGGAATGTTTCTACCTTGCAGCTTATGTTGAATAATGTTTTACATCCCTTGCAATTGTAACAATTCTTTCTGAAATGTAAAGTGACAGAGGTTCCTTGTGGACCTCTGCTTCTGTTGCAATCGGCTTCCAGTTTGAACCCACACGTAAAAGATATATTTGGATTTGGAGTCTGCAAAATCTGCATTCAATTACAGTTCAATAAAACAAATACAACAAGCATATCCCTTCTTCATAGTTGAGAACTGAATGTTACCTAAAAGGAAATAACAGGCTACAATTCCAGAAGAACAAATCCTAACAAAAAGAACTGAAATCGAAATATAATGATTGATGAGTACTCAATCTTTGATGGTGTGAACGTTTTGAAGCCATTGCTGAACCAAATCTAAATATGCTTGTAATAGCAATTCTGTTGAGACAGAAGAATTTGATAACCTTTGCCACAAGGGCACTTGACATGAAGGTCCAAACACTTCCCAATATTCTCCACTCTCACAGCTTCTTCACAATCAGCTCTACATCATCCTACAACAACAAACTTGACATGTTAATACCACTCATAAAATGCAAGCTAAATTGATATAAAATGAACCATCTCAATTTATCAAAACGTTTCAGAAATCAGAAGTTTGTTTCTTCACTAATTTCCCCAATTTTACCACCATTGATACAAAAAGCAAGTATCAAAGCTTCTTTTTCCTCAACAACTAGAAAGCGTGATCCTGAGAAAGAAAAGAAAACCTTTATTGCCTCAGTGGTGCACACATCTCCATCTTCTAGCGTTGCCTCACCGCAACATTGACTCATCTGTTTCATCCGCTACTTGGTTATCCTCAGCCTCCACCATCAACATACATAACAAGATGATAACGTTGTTAAAGCTATCAAGGTTGATGGATTCTTGGAGTTGTGGGTTATCTTCTTCTTGGTGTGGAACTACAAAGTCTGGTTCTTGGTTCACATCGCTCATTGGTTATGTCTTTGTGGGCTTTTCAAGATTTCAATTTTATTAGAGACATCGTGTTTCCTGGTTGAAATGCAGGGGAGGAGGGAAAAGGTAGAGAAACTGTAAAGAGTTTATATATATAGTAGAGCTTTAAAGGGTGTGACAGTTGTGGTAATTGGCAAGCCAATGAGGGAATGCCATGTCAAAATTCCAATAACCCCATGAAGGAAGAAAAACCAATTATGTGATGCATTCATTTCCCTCGGTGAAGAAGGGGTGGGTCCAAACTAAAAACAAAATTGCATTATTTTTATTTCAACATAATAAAAATGAAAAACGGGAAGGTTTACATAAGCCAAAGTACATAAGAAGCCTCATTATTTTTATTTCAACACAAGAACTATGAATTCAATGAAAGAAACATGTCCAACATTATCCAGAACAAGCTAGTAATACATTAAATTTCTGGGGTCTAGAAATATTCCTCTAGCTGTTATTCCACCAGAACCGAGACTGAAGTTGGTTTACGATATTCTTATCCAGCTGGAAGGCCTTTGCAAGAACTTCAGGATTGATGGCAGGGTTTGAGCCAAAGACAGCCTTTGCAATGGTGATAATCCCTGGGTTTTGGCTGCTAAGACCAGAAAAGGCAACAGCATTGGTGGTCCCTATGTTGAACTGGAAGTGAATGAGACCAACCGGGAAAACGAAGACATCTCCAGGATATAGGACTTTGGTGATGAGACGGCTATCGGGGTTGGATGTAACAAAACCAACATAAAGTGTGCCCTCCACAACGACTAGGATTTCCGTGGCACGAGGGTGAGCGTGAGGGGGATTTAGGCCACCATTGGGTGCATAGTCGACTCGAGCAAGAGATATGCCAAGAGTGTTAAGTCCTGATATTTGTTCAACATTCACTAGAGTAACTTTTGATCCTAGTTGATTTGATGTGTTTCCTTGCTTGTTAAGCCCTGAAAAGAAGAAATCTTCGGCGTTCACGAGCTTTGGGTCCTTGCAGAACTTGCCATTAACAAAAACTGAATATACGCAAAAAAAAAAAAAAACTTTGATACCGTTTCATGCAAAAAATAAGAGACATTTCTCAATTAATTTTCTCCGCTATTTATATGTCTTCATTTTAGGTGTTGATATGATTACACTAATTCCAAAGAAATTCAAACGAAAATGGGGATATAAAGAACAACATACCACCATTTTTGGCATCATTGATGGCTACACAGAAGTCCTGAAGAGGACTGGGATCAAAGGCAGAGGCAAGTGAGGAAGCCAAAGCCAACAGGACAAATGCTACTAGGACTTGAGCTCCTTTCATCATTGTAAGGCAGCTTTCTTGATTATATTGTTCTAAGTTATATTGCTCGGTGAGAGATGAGAAATGTGGTTTGAAAGCATGCCTATTTATAGACAACAGTCACCGAACAAGTCTATTCATTTTCATTCTTTAATTATTTTTTCAGAAACAAATATATATATATATATATATATATATATATAAAAGATTTGCCAAGTCTGCAGCTACTCTTTACATTCTTTAATTATTTATCCTCATCGAATTTAGTCTTCCCACGCTTGCATCAGTACATTGTGCATGGAACTGGTCAATCTTTACACACCCAATTTTTTCTTGTTTATTTAACTTCTCTGTTCGAGAACAATTAATTATTTGCTCATTAATTGGTCAATCTCTGAACAGTTCTTAATCAAGCATGGATATTCTACAAGAAATGTGTTTGAGCGTCCATGCATATCTCAGATTGAACCATGTCAACTAAGACAATGCATTCTATCCAGAGATATAAAACCCACAAGTCTTGAATCGTTCTAACACTTTTCTTGCTTGACTACTTCTTTAGTTATGCATATGCTGCTCGAATTATTTGAGTTCAAGGAGAAATTCTCCGGCCTTCAACAACAATTCCTGGAAATATTTGAATGAGATCAGCTGCACATGGTACCTGCCCAGCTGCTAGCATCTTAGGTTCAAACACTGCCAAATGGTAAAGATTTTCATTTTGTTAACTTTATTTTTTATTGTAAGTTGTATGGCTGGAGTGCCCGCAGCCTTAGCAACCTTGGATTTGTGCTTATAGTCAACGAAATGAAAAGGCGTAGACTAGTTCAAAGGCTGCAATCTATAAATAGGCATGATCTCAAGGAAAGCTTCTCATCTCTTCCAAAGTAATAAAACTTAGAAGAATTTAATTAAGCTACAAATTACATTATAACTATGAAAGGGGCTCATCTCCTCCTAGCATATTCTCTCTTGGTTCTGTCTTCCTCATTTGCCTATGCATCTGATCCTAGTCCTCTCCAGGATTTCTGCGTAGCCGTCAATGATGCCAAGGATGGTGGTATGTACTCTTTTTCTCTCTTTTGCATGAAACTATCAAAACAATCTACAAGCTTAGGCATCATATCGAAATAACATATTATTCTTCCCTTCACATATGCAGTGTTTGTTAATGGGAAGTTCTGCAAAGACCCAAAGCTTGCCAAAGCAGAAGACTTCTTCTTTTCAGGTCTTAACATTCCCAGAAATACATCAAATCCTGTGGGATCAACGGTGACTCCTGTCAATGTTGCCCAAATACCAGGACTTAACACTCTTGGCATCTCGTTGGTTCGAATCGACTATGCACCTAACGGTGGCCTAAACCCCCCTCACACTCACCCCCGTGCCACGGAGATACTATTTGTTCTGGAAGGCACACTTTATGTTGGCTTTGTTACATCCAACCCAGATAATCGTCTCATCACCAAAATCCTTTACCCTGGAGATGTCTTCGTTTTCCCAATTGGCCTCATTCACTTCCAGTTCAATGTGGGGAAAACCAATGCTGTAGCTTTTGCTGCTTTGAGCAGCCAGAATCCAGGTGTGATTACAATAGCAAATGCAGTGTTTGGAGCAAATCCACCCATTAATCCTGATGTTCTTGTCAAGGCTTTCCAATTGGACAAGAATGTGGTGAAAAATCTTCAGTCAAAATTCTGGTGGGCTAACAATTAGAGCATATTATTTCATCATACTCGAATTGAAGTACTTGTAATATTTGTTGGGATGATGTTTTGGTCTGTTTCCCTTATTAAACTAATGATTCATGTTGAAAAAATAAAATAAAATAAAAGGGGAGGTTTTGCTTATGTAAGTCTCTCTGTATTGATTTGGTTTTGTTACAATAAAATTGCAATTTGTTTACAAAATTGGAATATAATGTCAAGACATGTCTGGGTCTTGGTCATCAAGGAGCCATGCATGCAACAATGAATACTATTAATTATATATATACATATATTTGCTCAGCTACTATTAATTAGATTTGAGTTTTATATACAAACATATATAAAGTTTCTCATTTTAAAATAGAATGTTACTAAAATGTAAGGCAGCTTTCTTGCTTGAATTGTTCTGAGTTTTGTTGCTTGGTGAGAATTGAGGGATGAGAAATGTTGCTTGAAAGCATGCCTAGAGCGGTCATTGAACAGATCTATGCATTTTCCTTCTTTAATATATTTTTTTATGGAAAAAAAAAACAAATGGAATTAAGATTTGTCCTGTCTGCAGTAATTACATCATTACATTTTGCAGTGGAACTGCTCAACTTTTACATACCAAATGTTTTTCTTTGTTTATGTAACCATCTACAAGCTTTGCATGGGTATCAAAATAACATTGTTTTGCTCTTCACATAAATATGCAGTGTTTGTTAATGGGAAGTTGTGCAAAGAACCAAAGCTTTGTCAAAGCTGCAAAGCGAAGACTTGTTCATTTTATTCTCCATGCCCTTATTTTTATAAATAGCCTTCCTTTTTTTTGAAAGGCAAGAAAATCTTATTCCCCATATAGAAGGATAATAAATCCTGAAAAAGTATCACGTATATGTCTAGGGACGGTTAAGGTTACTTAGACAGCATTTGCAGTGTGCACCACACTTTGGTATTTCTTTTCGTCAGCCAATATTTTTCCTTTATATATATATATATATATATATCTTTGTGGTTCAAGGATCAAACACTTTGTTTTGGCTTTAATTATACTTTTTGTTCTCAGATTAATATACGTTAAGTGCAAGTGGCAGTACAAGTAATATAAAAGCAAGTTGAGTATTGTTTATCACAAAGATTTGTACTTATTTTTCACTAAGAATTTAAACTAGAGTTAGTTGCACCAATGAACTTGATTTACCTATCAAATGATGATAACTAATGACCTTGAATATTGTTTGAATATCATGTGAATTCTTATGTTTATCATTATTGCAGGATGAAAGTTTCACAATTGAGCACTTTATCTCGTATATTGTGTCATTATTTGCATTTGGAGAACAATTATGTAAATGCAAATTTTTAGGCTATGTTTGGAGTTTTAGAATTTGTTTTATCTTTTTTTGAGGTGAAATTCTAGGCTACACTTAGTTAGGGAAATGACTTAAGCCACCTTTGGATTGATTGAGCCTTTCAAGCTAACTTAATCAAAAGTTTATCCCCTTTGAGCGTAAAAAAAATTACCTTTTTCTTTGTCAACTATAAATAAGCTAGCTTAGCTTCTAAATAATTTTCCAACTCTATGTCCTTCACTCTTAAGCATATTCATTGTTTTAGGAACTATATGTTGAATTATTCAATGAAAAGATGAAGCGGAGAAAATTTTGAAATTCAATGCAAGGCATTCATTCCACTATCATTGAAAGAAACAAGTATGGGGGTGTTAGGTTGAGAATTAAAAAAAAATACTTGATGAATAAAAAGTGAAAGGAAAGAAAAAGGTATTCATGGTGAAGAGAAGTAAGGCTACATAAGTCTTAGAATAATTATATGCTTAGGGTGATTTGAGCTTTATTATATCCTATATTCCACCCTTACCGAAGCCATATATTATAAACTGTATAAAGTCCTAACGATCCATAGTTAAGTGTTAGCCTACATTAGTAGAGAGATAGGCGAAAAGCAAAGTTATGGAATTCTAAGCTAGTTTGAAGTCTATCTGAGCTTAATCTTATCAAAAGTGCGTGATACTCTTTGTAAGAGATTTCACACGCACACACAAAATTCATTCGAACATAAGCTTTCATTAGAATGAAATATAAACTTAAACAATATTTATGTTTTGCTTTAAGTTAGGAAAACAAGGCAAGTTATGAGGAAATTAAAAGTGATGAATGAGTTGGTGCAATCTCTTTGCTTGATGTTTTCAACTATGCTGTCTCATTTTTATTTTTAATTTTGCTCGAAGATTAGCAATATATTAAGTTTGGGGGTCTGATAACTTTATTATATAGAGTTATTTAACCACATTTTAGATGTTAAAATAGCTGAGTGCTTGTGTTTTAAGTCGATTTTAGAGAGTTTTTATGTTTTTCACTAAGTAGTTTAAAACATGTTAACTTGGTTTAATTCTAGTAATTCTAGTTCATTTTCATGTTGAAAATCCTATTTTAAGAAAACACTGATTTAGTCCTTGTGTTTGTAGGTTTTCAAATGCTAAGTAGTGATGAACTATGCAATGAAAATCAAGTGCAGATTTTCATTGAACATGTTACGGTATTACGGACAAAACTTGAGCTATAGAGATTCAATAAATGTGATTTTTAGGGCTTTTTAGTGGCTATAAATATGTGATTTTCAACAGTTGGGGAAGTCTATGATAGGAAAGAAATAGCAGTTAGAGAGAAGAAAAAAGTTCTACAAATGGAGGAAATGAGAAAAAAATGAGAAGGATTGAAGATCGGGAGTCAACTGCAGCCTTGTACTTCATTCTAGGGTTTCATTTCTTTCTCATTTTTCTGCTGTAGAAATGATTTATTCTCTTGAAACTATGATGTTTGTTGAAAAGATGATGATGAACTAATCTCTTTTTCTATGATTATGGTTTATGTTAATATGTAGTTTGATTATACGATTTATCTTTGCTTAGTATTAATGGGTATTATATGGTTTTTTCAATTTCATGTTTAAAACTTTTCTCTACTTGATCACCAGTTGAAATGATTAGGTTGTCCGAATGTAACTTGACTGAGGGAGTTTAGACTAGACCATTGATTTGATTAGCTTATGTTTGATTCGATTGAGGTTGAGTGATAGATTCATATTTAGGACATATATATACCTAAATACCTTAGGCAACCAAATTAGAAAATAAACTTAATGAGCTTTTCTTAACTAATTTGAATAGACATATGGAGTTAATTTTGAAATGTATGTGTACAAAAATCTCGACAGAGACTTGTACATAAAATTGGTTTCTAGGTTAGCCATATACCCCAATAATTTAAGTTCAAAGGAAAAAAGATTATTTTTAAATAAAATATTGAGAGACACCATGATCCTAGGTCTTTACGATAATAATTTCTTTACTAAAAATTACATTCATAGCTTTAGTTAGTTTAAGTGGTAAATTTTATATTAATTGACTGTTAAAATCAAGTGCTAGGTTAGGAAGAGTTTTATTACAAATTTAATATTTAGTAAAAATTTAGGAGTAAATCCTTGTGGGAAATGATATTCGATTTATCTTTATAACTTAATGAATCTTTTTGCAATTTAATTTACATAGACATATAGTAAATTAATTAAGAGAGAAGTATTTTTTATGAGAAACTCAATAGAGACTTGTAATTAATTTAGGACTCTAGGTTGGCAACTTAATCCATTAAATTGAATTAAGAGAGTGACAATATTCAAATAAAGTATTGAGAGATATCATAATCTTAGGTCTAGTAATCACTAGAAGTTAATAAAATAATTTTGCTTATATAATTTGGATTAGTTTTAGTTATTAGTTTTAATTTTAATTTTAATTGTTTAAATAAAATTGGAGTGTATTAATTTTAGTAGTTAACACTAAGATTTAATTCAATTTTCTATGGGATCGACACTCTACTCGTCACTATATTATTTTTGCGATACGTATACTTGGATGGGTAGAAAAATAATTATCTTTCAATATATTTTTTACACACCATGTGCATTAGAGATGTTACATGCATGGTGTGTAACAACTTTGGGTAATGTTCTAATTTATATACAAAGTTTAAGAAATTAAAAGAATTAGTTTTTCATCAACTTTGTGATTTTGTGAAATGCAGCAATAAACCTAATAACATACCTTGATGTCATCTCTATTTTAGGATCTGTATATCGACGACAATATAGTGAGATGTCGAAAGATAGATCACAGCACAATGACAATGGTGCTCAATGGACAACTGGGTGGCAAGAAAGAGCTGACAGAGCTAAGAGACTTGAAAGAGTTGCGAGAGCTATGATACTAAGTATTTAATTTTTCTGTACAGCAAAAGGGAGATATTGAGAGATTGATTTGTCAGAAATGTATTTAAGAATATTTTTCTCAACTCATGTCAAAAATTGAATAAAAACAGTTACTTTATATCATAGGATATTTCAGAAATCACCTTATTGGAAAAGTTATTTGTCACAATTTTCTTTATTTGAAATTAATGGAATCCAGGCGAAGTTTACTGGCCTGTTGCTAAAACACCGGATATCAATTGTTTACGGCCCTATTTCACCCTTAAAAGAACGAACTAGGAAAAACAATAAACGAAAAAAAATCTTTTACCATGAAAAAGAATGCATTGACGATTTTAATAGTTCCTTTTCTACCTCGATAACACGGAATCAACACATGAGCAGTTTCAGATGCTATGAAATGAAAACTGCAGGAAATCCATTATTTCTAACTAGTAAAGCAATGCAAACATGGTAGTTCATTAACCAAAGAATATGCAAGACCGTCTTACGTGAACCGATAGCAGCATGTGCTACCTGCCCCCCGCTGAATGGCAAAATTTGTGAACAAGGACCATTCTTGACTTCATTTAGCCACTAGTTAAATTTCATGGGGCGTCGGCTGCCCCAAAAACATTAGAAATATCCTGCAGTCAATGAATTTGTCTCAATTTAAATTCAATAAAATATTTAAGAATGACATGATATGTCAGGAATGAGGTAATGGCATAAAGAGGGACTTTATTGAAGATGTATATACATGGATGGTTGCAGGAGAATTTTTTATTAACACCAAACAGGTTTTTTTTCTTATTTTCTGTTCTAAGAAGTGTTTCATATTTTTCAGGCTCAATTCTTTGGATAGCGCTGTGGACAAGTAGGGGGAAAGGAATCTGGTTTAATTATCATATTTTTCTTGACACAGAAATTGACACATTGGAATGAAGATAGATTTCATACCAGAAACCTAATATCAGTACCAACCTTGTCTTAAACAATTACTGGTGACCATTTAAACAAAGAGGGGAAAGAGCCTTACAAGTAGTT